GATCAAGTTGTTTGGTTCCTATGTGGTATCCTCATCTGGCGAAGAAGTTTTTTCATTTAATCAAATATTCGTAGGGACACTCAAAAGTTCGAAATGCAATCTTGTGCACATCTTTCAGTCACATTTGAATCTATTAGTACTCTGATTTCAAGTCAATTTAGGAGGATATTGCAGCCCAATTGAACTCGTCCAATAGCTTCTCGGTCACCAAAATGGGAAATTTGTCAGATAGTGTTTCTTTATTCACTTCCCAATAATCCACACAGAAACACAACTTCTATCCTTCTTCACTAACGAGACTGGGCTAAAGAAGAAGCTCACACTAGGTTGTATAATCCCTACCTCCAACATCTCTCGGATACAACTCACAATCTCATTCGTTTGTACTTGGGGGAAGTGGTATGGGCATACACTGATGGAAAAAACCAAGTCTCAGGATTATTACATGCTCGAGTCCGCTCCCCATTCTTTTGCTCAATCCCACAGCTCCAAATCCGCCTAAGGCAACGAAGCTGCCCTGATGACATGTGAATACTTCTGATTGTTGCTGCTTGTAACCGCTCCAGACGGCGACGCTCGATCAACCTGCTCTAAATCCGTTTAAAGTAGCGACGCTGCCCTGATGTCGCACAAATCCTTCATATTGTTGCAGTCCACATCCTCTACAAATACCATCGCTCGGTCCTGCGGTCGCTAGTAACGGGTTTGCGTGAAACACTGAGATCTTCTTCATGACTTCTCAAGGGTCGTGAATCTCCCCTCCATTACGAGAACTGTCCCTCCATGGCTAAAAAAACGCTCCTCCATTTCAAATATGATTTAGCTCAACTCACCCTCTAATTTCTTCTCCAAATCATTTACTTTTTGGTTGTCATTACTCCTTGTACTGTTTCAAAACTCCTTTAAGCGGCGATCCCGTAGTTGGCTTCTCAGCTAACTCAAATCGCGACTGCATGGAGAGGTTTGATCACGGGAGGTGTTCTATGATTCTCACCCCCTTTCTCAATGATTTTGGGTAGAAGCAGAGCGGGAGGAGAGAAATGGGAGCTTCGGGTCTTTGTACGTCGCGATCCAGACGTGGCCTTCTAAGCTAGCTCTAATTGTGATTGTATTGCAAGGTCACTGTCAAGAAGACATATCCTCTACACCGCAATCCCGTCATAGGCTTTCCAGCTCACTGGAATCATGACTGTTTTGCAAGGTTAGGTTGATCTTGTCGGGCTTCACAGCTAGCTCGAATCGCATAAATTTTGCAGAAAAATTGTGATACGGTCTTTGTTTCCTAGACTCGAATGCTCTAGTACAGATTTGATACGAACAGAGATGAATTTTCACAACAAAACTAGGTAAATAAAATTCTTTAATTCACCAACACAAAATAACACAACCCAAATACATAACAGATAAGCACCTACAATTTGAAAAATAGGCGATCTCTCCCAAAGCTTAACCCTATCACCAACAATTCGAGATGTAAATGATCTCTCCCAAACTCTAACCCTAAGACTCAATACAACAAAATCATCATATCCTAACCTTAAGAAAAATAGGCCCTATTTAAACCCCACAATAATGACTAATAAAAAGACAAAACTTGCCCTTCGGCACCGGTCTAACATTTGTTCTCTAGCTGGGTTGGCTTGTGTTCTCCACAAAATTTACTCTCACTGCCTAATCTGATGGTTGAGCCTGTTTGAAGGGTGGAGTTGACTTGATATTGTTGTGTTGACTCTCCACCTTCAAGGCTAGAGTCTGAAGGTTCTGAATGTCCAATAAGGCTACAACTATATCATATTATCAATAGAGGATCGTAGTCCCCTCAAATATCGTGTTATGGTGTTCTCATTAGGCTCCACTAGCCCACACTTCAATATAAATTGCTTGAACTAAGTTGTGTAATCCTCTACTGAAACATCTTGTTGTTGTAATTGGTGAAGCCTCAAGAACATGTCATATCTGTAATATGTTGGGAGGTACATGCATTGCATCTCTCTTTCCATCTTTGATGAGGTTGTGATTTTATTTTTTTCCCTTCCGCTAGCATAAGCGTTTCAAATTTTCCCACCACAGAGAAGCATTCTTCTTTGTTCGACAGAATATCCTTATATTTAAAGACTCGTTCCACTGTATAGAGCTACTCAAAAAATTTGTTTTAATCTATAAAACCATCAAAATCTGGTAAGTCAATCTTCGCTCCAAAATTCTAACTTCTCTAAAATGATATGTCAAATCGTCAAGGTAATGGTTATTCCTCACTGGAAACTACATGGCGGAAGGGATTCACTTCCTCCTCTTGATCTGATAAGTCAATGTTATGGTTATGAGTGATCTCACTGGATTGTCTCCTGTCAAAGATGACAAGCCTCTGTGCAGTTAGAGAATTTTTTGCTGCATAGTAAACTTGTGAACGCATTGTTGCGGGTTTCTCCTTGGCAGCATGACGTCCCGTTCTTCCAATTGAAATTTTGATGGACAAAAAGATATGGTTTAGGGTTAGAGTTAGGTAGGGCACAAAGATGGATTTGGGACCGTCAATAAGACTAATGGCCTCTGTTTATCAGTAACTCTATCAATGAGGGCAGGAAGATTTTTAATTTCTAATATAACTATACATGGGATATTGAGAAATTATATAAACAATTTCGAGAAGATCTATGCAACTTAATTCGCAGCAACCTGATACGTATGATATCCCCGAGATGTGCAAGCAACTCATGGGGAAAACCATTACCGCCAATGCATTCCGAGCTGAATTTTCCCAGCTACAGGCCACACATGGGTGGCTTGCCAAACACAAACTACGTCCTAGGGAGAACGCCTTCTAGTGGAGGCTCAATATCTATGCCATCCCTACCGATGCTTGGGTGGCGCGGAGGGGACTTTCAAGTCCCCATAGTGCCCATGGGGATTTGAAGAGGGGGAAAACCAAAATCATATTTCTACCAACTATTTTTTTTTGTGTGCAGGGATGGAAAAACTTAAAAGGCTGGGAATTTAGTCTCCCTACTTATCAGAGTTTCGATGAGGCCCTCGAGGACCTACGCAACACTAAACCGCCCAACATCACTTTTGCGAGGTTGTATTGCAATGTTGTCTACCTGTATTGGCAGGCAAGAAATGCCAAAAAACATGTCAAAGCTCATGGTACACCTACAACAATTGCCTCCAACCAGTTGGAAGCCTGGACCGATCCTCAGTTTTACCCAATTCCAAAGCACTGGGATGCCAACCAGCAACATTGGCTGCATGAACGCCCCCTTAGGCATCGCTCCCCCCACCCCCCCTCCTCTGGGTTGGATAAAAGTGAATATTGCCAGGGGTCTCCTCTCCTCCAATCGTGCGGAGTCATCAGAGACGACATGGGGCAGCTCATAGTGGCTAAGGGCCACAACTTCACACAATGGGACAACTATAATTCTCTTGTCGAAGACTGGATGACCGAATGCAAAGGCAGAATCATAGAGGGGGACAACTGTAATGTCATGGAATACTTCCAGCATACCATTGACGAGAAGATTTGGCGACATAACATTTCCGACAATCCAAATATTGGCTTTTGCTTAATTTCAAGCAAGTCATGTTCAAACATACCAATAGAGAAAACAATATAGATGCCCATACTTGTGCAAAGATGACTTTGGATAAGAATTATCTTTTGACACTTGTAAATGCTTTCGATCCTCTGTTTTTTGTTTTATAAGAGGATAGTGTCCATTTTGTAAATGCCTTAAGAGCATAATTATTTGTTTATTTGGACTTTTGTAACATTTTTGAAATTTTAATGCAATATGCAACTTTCAAGGATCAACATTTATCAAATACAAATTGACGTGGGATGTGTTTACGGAATGTGAGACCGCATTCGAGCCGAATGCAAAGCCGCTTATGTGTTTTCTCGTTATCACGGGATCGGATGGCAGAACTACCGTGGGAATTTCCCGCTCGTGTTGGAACCCGACAAGATTTTATCCCAATATAACTTTCAGAGGGCCTTCACCTTTCCTGATTTCTGTTGTCAAGCCCATGGACCTTTTTTATTCTATTATATTTTAATATTTAAAGCTTAATTAGGATTGCTTTTCTATTCATCTATTTCAAATTAGGTTTTTCTCGGAAAAAACTATTGATATATTGTTATTTTACTGGTTTAGGGGACTTTCAGTAATTATTTTGGTGTTTGAAGATTTTATTCTCTGCTAACAGACCCTTGGACCAAAATTCATCTTTATTGAAATTTCAAGCGTTTGGTTGAAAGAAAAATGAATGCGGTGTAATTTTTAGAGGTTTTTGAAATTCTCACTCACTCCACTTTCAGTGCATTTGGAGTTCACCTGAATGGGTTCAATTCCAAATACAACACATGCATGAAGCTTCACGTTCAGCCACAAGCCACCATCGGTCTTCTGGTCCCCCGCCCACCAACCTACTCCCACTATCAGCTGCCCACCACGACCACTGCTGCCGCCACTTATCGCCTCCCACCACTGCCTACCACTGTTACCTCCCACCAACAACATATCCTAAACCAAAAATATTGGTTTTACTTTGCAAGTAACCAAAAACAAAAATTAAATCTTGAATTTTTTTAACAAAAAACAAATCAACGTAAATTATTTCAAAAACATAATGTTGACTTACATTATATTAAAATGCATCAAATTTTCAAAAACTTACAAGCAAAGAGTCCCTTAGAGCAAAATTAAAACATTGGTCTCAAATTTACCAATTTTGTAGTTCAAATTATATCCAATCATAACTTCTATCACAAGAATTTTCAAAAAATTAATTCCATTGAACTTCATCAAGAAAAAATTGGGTGTACATGTGTTTTTTCAAATTCTTAAAATAAAAAATTATACAGCATAAAAATTACTATTGCTGATCATATACTCCTAGAATTAGCTTTATCGAATATTTTCATTTCATAAAACGCGATAGCTAAAAATATATATATGTGGATCTCATCTGAGTGCAACAAAGAAGCGGTAACTGAAACTTACAACGCAAGCCATCACTGTTCGACTCTTCAATTTTTCCAGTAAGAATCTCCCCGATGAAAGGTTGAAACATGACTAATCTAATTACAACCTATAAAAGTTATATTTACGAACAGTAAATCAATTATCAAATAATATATTCAAATCAATTCGAAAACAATAATTGAATGCAAAATCAAGAATGTGGTATAATGCAAACCACAGTAGGCCAACATGGTTTTAGTCTAGGTTAAATCAACAAGCTATTTGTGATCCCTTTCAAACCTGATCCAACATTTAAATTTTCAAGGGTGCGTATGATTTTGAGCCATTAACAAGCATTATTAAATAAAAATCTATGAAAAACACCACGAAACATTAAATTGGTTCAAGCTAAAATGACTCCTCAGCCATTACCCATTTCTAGGTTGCAAGATGAAATCAAATAACCAAAAAGAAATCATTTAGCCAAATATCTACACCAAAAAACATGCTCAAACCATTAATAATGAATCCCTAAGCTATTATCAAGGTGCTGCTCAAGTAAAAAAAAATTGGCTAAACACTAAGAATGAAATTGGTTAGCTCATTTCCTTTAATTTACATGTTTGACATATGTATAATTAAAAATCATATATAGCTGTTGAACTTCACTCTTTACCACATCACTTCGTTGGACTATTTCCATGCCATTCCTCCTTGCTTCATGGGGGTTAAATCAATTGTCTTCAACACAACCTTACACTTGCTTCAAAATGGTATGAAGCTAAAGATTAAATGTAAATACATTGCCGCATTACATTAGGCCATCTATGGTATGAGGTTTTGCCAGCTAACCTAGAACTTTAGAAATGAATAGACAATGCTAACTCACACAAAAGTTTAGGTGAGATGAAGTGCTGTTTTCTCTCATTAAATTTAAGATGTAAGAAGATGTCTGTAGACCTTTGGCATAAGAAGTGCTCCAGCCTCATTTCAAATCTTTTATGTGAAGAGGAGTCACAGCCTAAACCTTGGAAGATAAGCTCTAATTGCCATTTAAACCTAGCAAATCATTCTCTAGAGATTATAAATGTTAGATCATCTATAATATGCATAAGTGGGATGAATACCACTCCATCACATATTGTATATGGACAACCTCTCTGCAATGTAACATAATGATAGCCTACAACAGTCTTTCCTATGCCCCAATACTGGTGGGAAGAGCCCTGAGAATAAATGCGTAAATAAGGAAACAATAATATAGACTATTGATGTTGACTAGATGTCATTGAAGAATGTAGATAACTTTGAATTTAATATGTAAAAAGCATACTGTGTAAATCTATTACTTACTATAGCACATTAGCGAAGAATTCAAGAGCTTTACTAGCTTATCAAAATAAATTATTTAATCAAGTACATTAAATAAGCTGAAAATGAACTAACATAAACAAACATTTAAGGAGCAAAATCTCTATAAACATATAAGTTAACTATTTTTACCCAAATGCTACATGAACTAATATCATGCCTAAGTTAACCAACAGTGTGCAAGCATTATTCAAGAAATAAAACACTAGCAAACAAATAAATATTATTAATAAAAAAATAATATTAATAAAGCAATAAAACACAAATGCAAACAAATAAATGGAAACTACCTCGTACGAAGAGCAACCATCTCCAGGGTAAATGAAACCACCATCCATAGAGAGAATGTCATAAACAGAAATGCAAAGCCCCAAATTTGCAATAATCTGATATATCAACGAGCATATAGAAGAGATAAATAGTTGAGGTTTAAACTGAAAAGAAATGAAGTTAGAAAACCTTGTCCAAGAATTGCATTTGAAGTTCTCCCTTGATTGCATCAATAAGAGGAAGGCCCAACAATTGGGGATGCAACTGCAATGTGTGCTTGATTTTGCTAAGATGAAACATGGTGCTTCAAATTGACATGCAGAGCAAAAGCATTTTATATTTAGTAAAAAGTTAAGGGAATAACTTTGTAAATCAATAACATATGAGGTAAAAAAGAGGTTGAACTTGTTCCTACAATCCAAAATAAAAGAAACTCAACCACATATCCCTAACTTTAAGCAATATAATCACATTGTACAAAGTAGGTCTCAAAGAGCAAAATAGTTTGTACCGAACTGAAGTTTCACGAGAAAGTTCTTAACTATTAAAGGTTCTCGGTGCATTAGCTTAGAATAATAGACTAGTCTCAACCAATCAACTTTTGGGTTCTTAGGCATTTGCCTCCCACTGACTCAAATCCACTCCACTGAGTTATTTGATTGGATTATTACTTCTACATCGTTGCCTCCCTTATTTTATTACTTGGGATCAAGCGTTTTACAAAATAACTAGATGTGAAGAGTCAAAATGCACTCTGACTCTATGAGCATGAATGCACATACTTTTAGAACCTTGGAGAGACATATTGCAGGAGGCATTGTCAAATTGTCGCTAGCATAACGTAAGTTGCTAGTGAGGTGATCCAATTATGTTCTCTTACCATTTTCTTTTACCTTTACAATCAATCCTTTGAAACTATAAATTCAATAGGAAGGGCTCTAAAAGAAATTTCTTCAAAGAAATTATCTTATAGACTTCTCCATTTGTTCTCTCAGATATTTGGAACCAAATATAAAAATAAACCCTAATTATTGTTTTTGTTGAAATATGTAACTAGTTTTGGCCATCACTATTGCAACGGTTAGTAAAAAAATCATGTAACTGATAGTTTTAAAACTTAAATTAATGGATTAAATAGATTTGGTGTATTTTAAAGTTATATATATATATATATATATATATATATATATGACCATATCATATTCCATAATGCAAGCAATCAAGCTTTGAGGTATGCTTCTAGAAGTCATCCCAAAATTGTCATTTCTTTTAAATGCCTCATTTATAAAACTAACTAAATTCAATTTATACATTGTTTTGATCTTATTGATGAGTATGAATGGTGCATTGATACGTTAGAAAAATAAACACGTGAGTAGAATTTTTTTTCTCCCCTTAAGATGAGAAAATCCGGTCTATGCTAAAAAGTGTCCTTTATCATGTATAGAAACTTAATCAAAGGGTTGTGTGCATAAAAAATATGTCAGCACAAATCTTAAAGAAATCTGACAGCTCGCGGAAGAGATGACGTGGCATCCTGGGACACGTCGGGGACGATCCAAAATCTCAAACCTAGCCAGTCGGCTCATACAAGCCGGAAGGAAGGTAATCTCCACATGAATAGAATTTGACCATTCTCCTGGAATTCAACCAACACAAAACTCCCACGGACGAGTCCAACAACTTTCTCTATAGTCAGGTCAGGGCAATCAAGCCAAACTGTCCGAGTTCGAAGCAGTCGGCCTAAGTCCCCGTCTTTTCAAGCATAAACCCTCAAGAAATAACATCATTGGTAGTGTCTCCGAGTCCCAAGAGATTAGCCGCCCGACTCCAAAAAGACGGGTGGCGGGCTCTATAGGCTCCCGACCCTATCCGATCGGACACCTCCTTAGGGTTACAGCTCCATCCGGCAGGGCACCTTTCCAGACTCCAGAACCTATATTTATTACTGACCAAAATGCCCCCGCCATATCTACGTATTCTAAGAGTAGATAATTTAATTGTACACACCTCATCCCTATAAATAGGGGTTCATTTCTTGAATAAAGGTTATGCGATTTTATTGTTCTCTAATGTGCTTTTGCTCTTTGTGTCCCCCCTCTCTCTCCTTTTCGTGCTCTATTCTTTGGGTCTCCCAGACGATTTTTGATTCAACATCTTAAAAGATGCGGTAAACATGGAGTCCTGCCTTCAGTAAGAAGAGAAGCGCAGCGGTCACAACGAAAGGAGATTTCCCAAATAGAACAAGCCATTGCAGGAGAAATAAGAGAAGTGGTAAAAAAGATTGCGCATAAGGGAATGCAGGAGATGAGGGCTCAAATAATGGACCAGGTGTCGGGCCAGATTGTTGAAGTCCTACGAGCCATTACAACTCTGAGGGAAAGTCGGGCACCCTGGGAGCAAAATGCCCCCCAAGAAGCACTGTCGGTGCCCAACGGCTGAAGAATGAATCACAGTCCAGAGAGGGCCGAAGACTCACAGTATCAGGATAGCGTTGGATCAGCATAGGTGGAGAGGCAACGAGAAGGGCATACTGAGGCTCCGCGGCAACCAGAGCCCATTCTCCCACAGATCTCGGGGGCCAACCCTCAGAAAAATGCAAATTATCTATGGGTGTCGGTCAAACCTATTTGAGTCGGCCAAGTGCTTGTTCAAGATCTCAGACGCTTTAAAGTGTTAGTTCTTCACTATTTTGAGGTTGTCCTCCTTGAAGTGGTTTCACTCACTTCCAGCTGAGAGAATCAACAACTTTGCTGATTTCAAGAGATTTTTCTCGGCACAATTTGTCAGTTCCCGGAAACTCACCAAGAGCGTGCAGTCCTTGTGCCAACTCAAGTAAGGTCAGCACGAGAGTCTGCGCTCATTCATTTCACACTTCTAGAGAGAAATATTGAATGTGAAAAACCTCTGAATCGATGAGGCACAAGCTGCATGAAAGTAAGGCTTGAGGTCCACATGCATTTCATATGACCTCAGTCTGCACGACTCCTAAGACTTGGTTGAGCTATTGGAAATGACCAACAAGCACATCCTCGTGGAGGAGACCACCCCCAAGAGAGAACCGAAAGAACGTCATGTCCAGAAAAGGGCTCCCCTAAGCGGCATTTTGATGCCAAGGGTGGATCATAGACCGCCCGTCAGGCGTCGGTACGAGACGGCCAATCCTCTCGCAGCAACAGAGTGTCTGATCGATACAACCAACATGGAGGTCAGGCGAGAAACTGTGATCCTTGGCCAACCCGGTACTATGAGAAGATGGCACAACGTTATTAGCAACCGTACGGTGAGTTTGAGGGCCTACGGGTTACCAATTGAGGGTATCAATGGAGGAGATTGTGGACTCCATCAAGGAGAAGGATTACTTCAAGGAAGCCACACTAATGAAGGTCAGAGGCTTTCTCCGGGATACAAGAAGATATTATAATTATTACTGAGATCACGGTCACGACATGGAGGATTGCATAAACCTTCAGAGTCTCATGAACGAGTTGATGAAGGCAGGAAAGATGAAGGAGTTTGTGGCCCAGGGACACCCGGGTCAGAGGCATGGTAAAGCCCCGACCATAGAAGCTCTGTAAGGCCCCGTCCGGATGAACGTCATCCACATCATCAAGATAGTCCCAACCAATTTCGGAGGAAATAAGTCCTCTCGGCTAAGCTCCCAAAAGAGGCCCAGGACAGGGGAACTACGTAACCTCACATCCGTGCAAATGAGGGTCAGAGGCATAAAAAAGCCCCAACGAGGAACCCCTAAAATGAAGCAATCACTGTAACAAGGATAATCAGCAACTTCCAAGTTGGAAGTATCCTTATTGACATTGACAGTTCTGTGAACATTTTGTTCAAGTCAATGTTCGATGAGCTTAACCTTCAGGCCAACCGATTGTTAGCATTGACCCGTCCATTGTATGGCTTTTCAAGTGAAAGTAAAAAGCCACTAAGCGTAATGCCATTAGCGATTACTTGAAGAAATGATGATAACCAGCTCACAGAGACTGAGGATTTTCTGATAGTGGACTCGTCTCCTACCTAAAATGCCATTTTTGGCCGCCAACTGCTAAATCACTTCAAGATCGTGGTGTCCACCTACCAAGCTGCAGTCAAGTTCCAGAGGGACGAGAAAGTGATCACTATCAGAGGAGACCTGTTGCAGTCGCGGGTCTGCTACCTCCAGGCGGTAGGGAGCGTGAAGTAGGAGCAGCTCGACCTACAGAACCGACAAGAATGTAGTCTCGAGACCAACGAGACGACTCTGAAGATTCTCGTTGTCAAAGATAAGCTCGCTAAAACTTTCCTACTAAATGATAATTTCAATGCAAGGCACAGTGAGCTGCTAATCTAGACACTTCGTGACCACCGCAATGTCTTTGTTTGGTCCGCTGCAGAGATGCTAGGGATACCAGTTGACGTTACCTTAGGGGTGTCAAAAATTTAATAGCCAACACGACTCAAACTTGACTAAAAAATCTGGGTAAAGATTAACCCGAATATTTTTCAAGTCAGGTTCGGGTCAGAGAATTCAACACATTTATTTTTCAGGTCAGGGTTGGGTTGAACCTGAAAACCCAAGCACCCGAAAGTTCGAGTCAAATTCGGCTTAGAGGGTAAGCTCGGGTTTGGGTTAGGTTCGAGTCTTAGTTTTCGACCCATTTATTATTTGGGATGTGTTCGGGTTGACCCTAATCATGCCGAGTTATTTTTGGGTCGGACCCGAACCCGACCCACTGACACGAATTGTCACCCCTAGGTTACTTACCACCGGTTGAATGTAAGTCCCACCGTCCGGCTAATCAAGCAGAAGATCAGGAACTCGACGGCTAGAATGGCCAAGCCCATCAAAGAAAGGGTGTTGAAGCTGTAGAAAGTAGGGTGCATCCAGGAGCTACATCATCCCAACTGGGTCACAAACGTCGTCATGGTCCAGAAGGTCGATGGGTAATGGCGGATGTGCATAGACTTCACGAACTTGAACGTCGTCTGCCCGAAGGACTACAACCCCATGTTGATGATCGATGACCTGGTAGACGCAGCTGTTGGTCATTCCGTGATGAGTTTCCTAAACTCTTTCTTCGGTTACCACCAAATCAAGATACACCCAACGAACGCTGAGAAGACTGTCTTTATCACTGCTGAAGAACTTTATTGTTATAATGTAATGTCTTTAGGCTTAAAAACGCTAGGGCAACATACCGATATGTAATGAATGTAATTTTTGCTTATTAAAAAGTAAAAAGTATTGAAGTATACATGGATGATGTCCTTGTGAAAAGCCGAACGGCAGAACAACATATAAAAAACATAAGA